AATTTATGTTTATTTTTATTTTTCTATTAAGACACTATACCATTTCATATTTATTATTATTAATAGCATCTTTGGTATTTTGTTTTTTTTTTATTATTATAGTATAGTATTTTAAAAGACATTGTAAATTATAAGATATTATGTAGGTTTGAAAAATAGCATAACTAAGTCGTAACATACAATATACACACATATTCTACATTTTACGTAGATTTTTCACATTTATTTTTTCATATATATATACACACAAATACATAAATTTCCCATTCCAATACACGTACACATATATTTTCACATATAGTTTTTTTCATACATATACATACAGTTCACATTCAAATACACATATACATACATTTCACATGCAGATACATGCATACAGACATTTTCACATACATTTTTTCATACATATACAAACACACACACACACACACACACACACACACATATATATATATATATATATATATATATATATATATATATATATATATATATATATATATATATATACATTTCATATACAAATACACATACACATACATATACATTTTTACAATCATATACACACATATACATACATATACACATACATTTCACATAAAAATACAAACGGTAACATATTCACATATACATTTAATAATACATACATGAAAAAGTAAAACAAAAAATAAACAAATTAATACACTGTCAAATCTACAAGGACATGTCCTAAAAGTCGATGTCTTTGGTTTAAGGCACAAACAAGTCATAAATTTAAATGAGGGCATTTTATTATAAGAGAATAATATTGAACGTAAATTTATTGAAAAGAAAAGTGCATCTAAATAAGTTATAAAATTCAAATAATAAAAAATAATTTTAGTTTCCAAGTGACTTTTTTAATCCAACAAAATAACCTTCAGCTTGAGTGTTTGAAATATATTATGCCTAAACTATGTCTAAACTAATACTAAAAATCATTAATAAGCTCTAATAAATTTCTTTTATTAAATTATTCAAGCAAAACAAGCTCACGGAAATAAGGTTGTGTTTGATAAGTGTCTGATTGAGTTGAGTCAGACAGTTTTGGCTGACTCGGTCAGCTAAAGGCGTTTGATAATTCAATTTTGGGTGTTTTTCTCGGAAAGAAACGTGTGAGTGGGTTTGAAGATAAAAACTTGGTGAGTGAGAAAGGCATATGATGTTTCCAAAATTACCCTTGACCTAACGTTCCCATTCTTTCTTCTATTCCAACAGCACCTCCATTCTTTCTTCTTCTTTCAGCGCCCCCTCGTTCTTTCTTTCTTCTTCTTTCAGCGTCGGCAAAAACCTCTTCCTCTCCGACCGATTGAATCCTCCTTCATCTTCTCTCATGAGGTAAGCTTCTACCTTTTTCCTCCTTCTAATCACTTCCTTTGTTCTTTCTTTTTATTTGATGAAACAATTGTTGTTCTATTGTTGTTGTAATAATCTTGTTTTATAACCGAATATTGTCATTCTATTGTTGTTATGTTGCTGTGATGTTGTTGTTTGTTGTGATGTTGTTGTTTGCTGTTTTGTTGTTGTTTAAAGTTCTGATTTTTATTGTTATGTTCCAATTCAACTCCGATTTTTGATGTTATGTTCTTGCTTGCTGTTTAGTTTTTTAACATTTGTGTTTTGTTTCTGAGATGAAGAAAATGAAGAACCCACACGTTGATGAAGAAAGTTTGGATGTGGGTATACTTAATTGAAACCAATTAGATGATTTGAAAGGTGAACTGAATTGAGGTTTTGATGAAATGAGCAGTTGGAGTCTGAAATTGTTGTGAGTCAAGAAATGTGAAACCATTACTAAAAGTCAAACTCTTAACAAAGAAGATACAATCTTTTTTTTCTAGGCCTTTCATGAAATGTGAATATTAGTTTGATGGTGTGGAGATTAATTTGACAATTGGCCAAATTTTAATATTACAATTCATCACATTGCATATTTCATATGAATTTTGGATTTTGTGTTTAAATACCGAGCTTATATATTCCAATAATTATTAGTTCACGTCTCTTGGTAATTTTTAATGTTCTTGCATCATAAATTGTAGTAGAAAGCTTATTTTTGTCAAAGTTTAATCCTCTCTGTAAAGCAATTTCATCCATCATTGTATACAACATTAGGGGTAAAATGGTTATTTTGTATCGATCAACACATTCAATTAGATGTACAATCAAATAACATGGTTTCTTACTCAGTTAGAATTTATTACTCAAACAGACCTTTCTCAATCAGTACTTTCTCAATCAGCAACAATCAAACGGGACCTAAGTCTAACTTTTTACTAATTTATCAAATAAGCTTTTAATTAAATTATAAAAACAACATCAAGAACATTGTAAAAATTCCTAATAAAGGTCAATACTTTTCATAAACGAGTAAGCAACAAAAAGTTGTTCGATCAGTTTATATTATTGTTGAATCTTAGCAAAAGAAGCAATCAAATGTTTGTTACTTATTATCAATTAATTAAAACGATTACAAATTTTAACACATTGAACTAAAACTAATTCAAGTGGCTAATAAAATTGAATTAAAAATCAAACACTTTATTAAGGGCATGATTTGTATTTAGGTCTAGTAATTGTGTCGTGTTCGGGTTGGCATGTCGCGGGTTCGCGGGTTGGCAGGTCAATATATACCAACCCAAACACGACCCATTTAAATATACAGGTCACAGGTTGGTGGGTTTAGAACATAAACCCATATATGACCCACCAACCAATTTATTTATACGGGTTCACAGGTTGGCGGGTTCGTGGGTCAGATTTGGGTTTGTGGGTCCAAATTTTAGACATTTAAGTATTAAACATCCAAATGAAAATTAAAAGCATTTATAGAAACATGTTACAGACTTAGTCTTATAGGTTACGACTTACGACCTTAGACCATCCACTACGAGTCAAAATATCAAAACAGTCAAATGATCTATGAATCAGTGGTATATATTATATAATACTTATTAGATATTAATAGTTGATACATAAATACATTTAAAAATAAAATAATTTTTTTATTAAGAATATAAACGGGTTGGCGGGTCAACCCATTTATTTTTTGAGAAACTCATATATGACCCGTTTAATAAACGGGTAGGCGGATTGGTAGGTTAGCGGGTTGGCAGGTTGAAAAACTCAACCCAAACCCATTTATTTCGTGTCGTGTCGAGAATTATCAGCCCTATTGGTATTGCTACTCAAACTCTTTATTGACTTTTTAGAACAATCACGAATTTCTAGCTTTTTGAAAAAATAATTTTTTCACTAAAAGCTTTGTGTATACCAAACACCTTGTTAACTTATTGGCTTTTTGAAAAACCAATAAATCAATAATAAGTCATTTTATAAAGCACTCACACACACCCCCTAAACATAAATCAGATCAAACTAAATAGAAATCACAACCAAAAATCAAACCTAATGATTACTTGCAAGAAAAGTCAAGTCAATTTCACTCTAAGAATTTTAGTCGGACATGGCTAAAAACAAATCAAAAGCAATAAATTAAAGTATAAAACTATAAATCTTATTGAAACAGATAACAATTGTTGTTCTATTTTTCATCGCATATAAATATTATGTTCTTTGTTATTATACACCTGATGTCGAATACCCAAATACTAGAGAGTATTGCACTCCATACAAAGGTACAAACATTCATTATTATTATACACCTGATTTTCTACGTGGACAAACTACTATTGTGAAATATCATCGAACGAACTTTTCGAGTTTGGAAAGTCAAGTAGACATTATTGAGAGATATGCATGTTAATTACAAATACAAACAAGTAAATATTGTGGTAACATCGATGCTAATCCATAACTATATTAGAAACAATGGTAGAATTAACTAAACATTTAACAACAAACAACAAGAATCCTATAATCCCGATGATGTTGAGACAAGACAGAATGAAATAGAATGTGATACTAATAATGAAGCTCGTGAAGATGATCCCCATTAGAATTCATATATCGAAGGGAAGCGAGATATTATTGTGGAAGATATAATGGAATTGTAGCGACAAATGTAAGTTCATCAAATGACTTCTTAAAAAAAGGTTTATCAAGTTACAACTTTTTGCTATCACATAAGATAATCCAAACACTGTTTTAAAAGTTTTTTGTCACCACATAATTTTTATCGGAAAGTGTTTAGTGAGTCAAATAAACAATCATGAACACCCCTTAAAAACTATGTTTTGAGAGTTTTAAAAAATTGTTTTTATAAGTGTTTGGATTCGCTTAAAACAATCATTACCAAAACACTTTTTTAGGGTTATTGGCTTTTTGAAAAACTAGGTTAATAAGCTATTTTAGAACTAAATCCAAAATACCCCTAATTAGATATTAATAAAAGTATTAAAAAATTAAACATTAATAAATAAATAATATACATTTTTCAATAACAATAACAATAATAACATAAAACATCAAATGAGGGTAAAATGGTCATTTTACATGTGTGATTTTGGACAATATCGGTAGAGAGGACCAAATCTAATATAAATTGGAACAAAAGAGATTAAAGATGGAACAAAATTTGTTTTTGGAGAATATAAAAAACAAATGGTATAGCACATGAACTAAATTTGTAATTTACTCTCAACATTTTTAGAATATTGCAGCATAAATATATAATCAACTCCTATTTAACTTAAAAATATGTGTAGGGTGACAAAATTTGTGCCATACATTATTACATACCAAAATAGGTTCTTCTAAAGGTTCAACTCTATTGCTTTTGAAAAGTTGTTACTTCTAAAGAATATTGAAATTCAGGGTTTCTGATACCATGCTTATATCATATAAGCTCAGTTTCATAGATCTAGTTTATAATAACACTAGAAATGTAAGAAGATGCCAGAATACTTGTTTCATGATTGGAAATACATTATATTCCAAATCTACAAAAGAGTATATAAAAAAGTTGAACTTTTAAGAGTAATGTGAAGGGTTTCAAGGTTTAAAGTATGCACCTGAAAATACTACAATAACACCTTCATCCTGTCCTTATGCTTCTCCAGAATCTCCATCACAGCTTCAGTATATGCAGCCTCTTCTTTATCTTCAGAACCATCATCTTCACTGTTCATAAGACTATCTTTTTCATCATGCAGACCATTCATTTCCATTACAACAAGAGTTACCCCCTTCATCACGTACCCTGAAATTGGCATGTCCAAAACAGGGATGTGACATTGACTCACGCTAGCTGGAACCTCTATACGATTCATCTCTGATTTAACAGTTTCCATGGCTGATGATACCCATCCCTTCTTCACCTCAGCAAGTTTTTCCCCACTAAGAGAAAGCCTCCCTCTTCTTCCTGAATCAGTAATGGAAGCCTCTTCCAACATTGGTAGATCCTTAATGATGTACAACAACATCCTATGCCTCAGAATCACATCCTTCAGACATTGAAATGCAATGTGAACTTTCTGCCTAAACAGATCATTACTCAAGTCCATGTCTTGTTCGTCGCCATTTCCGTTAACATGAAATTCATCTGAAGCAGAAATTGAATTCGGCGAGAGAAAGAAAAATGATTCGATTCTGTTCCCGAACTTGACCTTCCATTTGAACAAACAACGATTATCAATACCTCTGTGACTGGAACAGGGAAGCTCGATATGTAAGGACTTAACTCCTTTAAACTTGCTCAAAAACGTAACGGCAGATCGAAAGGACTGGCCGTAAAAAGAAGAAATGATAGGCGGAAGGGGCTTACTAGGGGCGGCGATCATACGGCGGAGGAGGTAAAGGGGTTTGAATACAACACCATTAATCAAGAACCGGAACAGCTTTGTAGGAAATCCGTCGCCGTCGACATCGCCGGAGGTGATTTTATCCGAAGTGGGAGAGTTCAAGAGAGGAGCAGTGAAGGAAACGGAATCGACTTGAAGTACAATCGAGGAGAAACGTCTGGAAACGAGAGAGCAAAAGCAAAGGGTTTTCAAATCGATTAATTTGTTTATAATTTGGAGGATAATTTCGTCTGGTAAACTACTCAATGGAGACGAATCATCTGCATCTTCTTCACGGGATTTCACGATGGTCATCATTTTTCAGGCTAAAGATTGATGGTTTGATGCATCAAAACCCTAATCGTCCAACAACTTCAAAAGTCTTTCATGGTTGATAACTTGTTATAGAGTTTCGAGTAAAGTCCCGACGTTTACCCACAATAACACCTTTAGTCCAAATTTTCATTTGTTGTACTCTTGGTATCTATTTCCAAATTTTGTTTAATTTTTCATCCTTCATGGTGGATGTAGTTTTCCTTTTACCATCAAGACCAATGTTTTAAAAACCGGTTTGAACTGGTCGGTCGAACTAGTTGGACTGGAAATCGAAGACAGGAGCGGTTCAACTATCACCGGTTTTATGCCTATTTCTGAATCGGAACGAACCGATCAGTTTTTACAAAAACCTGGTTGAACCGGTTAAATTAAACCGGTTAAATTAAACCGGCTGAACCAGTTAAATTGAATAAAAACACATAGAAAATAAACATTTTGCATAATAAACTTTTGTGGTCTTTTTCATATGTTTTTGATGTTTGTGGGTTGATATAAAACTTATGCTTATGTGTTATTTTAATGTATTTGAATTGATCTATAACTTGTTTTTATATGTATTTTTAATGTTTGAACATGTGGGTGTCTGTGACATCCCCAATTTCACAGCCAGAAACGATCGATTTATTTATGTTTTATTTGAAAATCAGAGTATATTGTTAAAGAAATATATTGCGGAATTTGTTCCCAAAAATATGATGAAGAATTTATCAAAGCATTTCCGAAGAAATGTATTTTCATTGTATTAAAAACCTCAGGATGTCATTGTGAATACAGAACAAAAGCATAAACAGAAACAACATAGGCCTTACAACATCTATTTATTCTAATGGCCTATAACCCATTTATGTCTCATTAGACCATCACTTTTGTGCTCTCTTGTCACTACCTGTATACAAGAAATTGAGTGGGTCGGGCTTGAGATCCTGGTGAGTAGGGATGAGAATTTAGCCCGAAAACCTGAACCGAACCGAAAACCGAACCAGACCGAACCGAATTAGACCCGAATAAGCAATTCGATTCGGTTTTCGGGTATCTATATAAGGCTTATTCGGTTTTCGGGTTACCCGAATAAGGGCTTATTCGGTCCAAAAGGACCGAACCGAATATGAAAAGTCACATTTTTTTCCTAACATGATTGCTTATTCGATCTTCTTTTCTATCGATCGTTACCTAATAAAACCCACGTAATACACCAAAAAAATCAACGCAATCGAATTCGATCATCCGTATTACACCAAATCGACGAGTCGACGACATTACTCTTTGATCGATTGAGATTTTTCTCATCCTTGTGACATTACTCTTTGATCGACAGTTGCGGCTACTACCCTTTTGACTTACGATAACCTGGACTCATTGATCGATCAACCGGTTCAAAGTTCAAAGTTCAAACTCCATTCATGATAAGAAAAAAAAGTCAGCCCTTACGTCTGGAAAAAATAATCGTCTCATCATCGTTGTTTTCTAGTTTCTACTATGATCAAACTCCATTCAAGTCATACAAAATACAATATTTATAATCACATTATAAGTGTTATTTGTAAATGTTATTCAGTTTATTCGGGTTATTTGGCTCCTTAATCATCTTATACATGTTATTTGGGTTATTTGGGTCAGAACCGAACCGAACCGAATAATACCCGAACCGAACCGAACCTGTATTGCTTATTTGGTTCAGTTTTCGGTTCATACAATTACCCTTATTCGGTTTTCGGTTTATTCGGGTTCGGTTCGGTTCCAACCCGAATAACATCCCTACTGGTGAGCACATAAGGTTTTCAACCCACAATAATTAAGTTCATTAATTTTGTCAAATCATTCATCCTGATTACTTATTCCCGTTATCCTCACCATACGTCCCTAAAGCATATACTATAAGGGACCTAGCCTAAGGACTTTCATCGGGGTGACAACATTGCTTAGGGGATTCCTCAGCAATACATGTCAAATAAGGAAACCATGAGGGGGATGAAGTACACCTGGTGAACATGTAGTTCAAATAAACACTTACATGTTGCGAGCCTGCTAGCGTTCCACTAGACTGTCTAGAATACTTTGTGCTCGTCATCTATACTCCGCTAGATGACTGGATCATCATAAACATCGAGGCCTCTCATCATTTTATTTCATCACGCATCAATTATTTCATCTACCCATGTTTTACCCAACATTTTCATAGATATAAAATACATATTCAGTTTAAATCATTTAAAACATGTATAAATCGTTCATCCATCATAGATATAAAGAAAATAGTTAATATGAAAACATAGCATGTAATTTATATTAAATACTTCATATGTATGTGTAGGATGAAAATAATTATGCACTCACATGTTAAAGTGGTGATTCCAACTTGGACAGCGCTTCGCTTCTCAACAATATAATTTCTTTCGACGAAACCTTGTATTATTACCACTAGATTATAGTCTAATATTTATTGCGACTAATTACGAGCGTTATTATTTTATAAGTGTTAAACGATATTTTTCAACCACTATATACAGACAAGGCCAAACATGAAACACCGGAGAGCAGGACCATTCTGGCATTATAGCACTTCTGAAATCGACAACCTTATGCTACCCTTCAAACCAGATTCAGCATGCCAACAACATTGGTATGAAAGATGATATTAGTTTTAGTAGTTAGATAGTTGGTTTGAAACTTGTAACAAAGTAAATGTAATTGACTTTTGGTGATTAAATAATAGAGAATTATTTATGAGTTTGTTTACTACCTTTAATTTGTCAATTGTTTATTCTTGTGTTTCATTTTTGAATGTTTTACTTCCCGAATAATTCGATTATTCAAACTCCAGAGTGGATCATACTTTTGGAAGTAAGTAGTGAATTAATAATGTCATAAAAATTGAATTATAGATTGTCTAAAGAGTTTTAGACATAGCAATGGTATTGTTACAGTGTTCACGAGTACTTTGAAAATGGAGATTTAAGTATTATATTAACCCACGCTCAGAGAATTACTTTATGGAATTTATCATGAGTAATTCTGAGACGATAATATCTTATAATCCTAAAATGGAGATATATGAGTTGTGGTTTACAAGTCAGTTGTGCATTGATGATACGTAAACGCATCAGTAACTTGATGTTATAAAACATATTGTTATGAATTATTTGATGAGTAAATGGTGTAAGCATATAAGTTAAAGTTTATTCGCTCCTTTTGTCCTAACAGGAAAATCGATATCTTTGAGCCCCTCTGTGATTTGATGTAGACTTATAGTGTCGGACCCGTCCACAACAAATTGGTGTGTTCGATTAGAAGTTCTATGTCACTACAAATCAAAATTTGCGAACAAAGTATTGGATAATGAGATTGATTTTGTTCCATGTCTCATGTCAGATTGATATCTTGCAGAATAGGGGATTATATGATCACTTATCTTAGGACACGTAACTGACTGGGTCAGAGTCCGACAACGACTTTTGGAAGCTACAATTTGTTGATCGATTCGGAAGTTATACTTGCAATCATAGTTACAGACTTATCCAAGTGGAAGACTATTAGATTAGGTGTTTTAAATCCATAACTATAATTGGTATAAACATGAATTTATAGTAGCACATTACTTTTGGGTTGCCCTCAAACCTAGCAATTAGACAATATGATTTTTGGAGAGCGAGACTGATTTATTATTTAATTAATAAATTGAAATAAATAATTTATTTGGATACTTTGTATGTTTAAATCCTTTCAAAATATTTCACATATGCTTTGAAAGATTCATATTGAGGAAAGTCGTTCAAACATCCACTTTACCATATCTCCTTATCAAAGAAGACAACAATGCTAACAAATAACCAAATAGACTTTTGTTAGCTACTAGTGAGAATGTTTCCTTATAATCAATTTCTTGAGTTTGAATGAAACTCTTTCCCACCATAATAGCCTTGAATTTGTGTACATTCCTATCCATGTTACTCGTCACATTGAAGATCGAATCGCAACCTACTTGTCATAAGACTAGGTATCGAATCAACCAATTCCATACTTGGTTGTTTTCCATGGACTGGATTTCTCTATCCTTATACTTTTCTCAATGGCAACCATAGGGCCCACTATTGCTTCCTAGTAGCTATCAGACTTATCCTAATTCATCAATGTTTTACCATTAATCAACATATTTCCTTCCACTTTTAGATGAAACTCATAAAACTTGGGAGGTGCTCTAACTCTACTATATCTTTCAAAGAGGTAAAGTAATTGTAACACCGAAATTTTCAAACAATTTTTCACATTAAAAAAAAAACACACTTTCATTCATAAATATTATAAAAATGTCTTTGTATCACATATCAATTGTAACATACACGTTTTGAAATCGTGTTTCATAATGAATAAAATTGTGAAATACTATGTGAAATTGAGTGTTGAGTTCTAACAGATGTTTTTTTACTAGAAATGAAGTAAAACTATGTTTAGAATCACTCAGAAAATACTGGAAGTCTTATGAGATTCCAATTAAAAGCCAAATAGTGAAATTTAGCGAAAATATAAAATTTTAAATAAGTAAAATTTTATTATTTGATGTTGTAGAGAATCTCGTTAGAAACTTGTAGGCGAAACCTCGTCGAAATCTGAGTTATAACGAAGAAGTTATGACCAACCGAAGATCCGCGACAAAACCGACACGACACCGAATGACGTAAAAAGTGAGTTTTTGATAAACTACTTGTGACATCCTCATTTTCACGGCCAGAAAAGATCGATTTTGTTTATGCTTTATAAAAATCAGAGTATTTCTTTTCATAAAAATGTTGCGGAATTTGTTCCCAGAAAAACATGATAAATACGTTATCAAAACATTTTCGAAGAAACGTATTTTATTCATTTTAAAATGTTTGGGATGTCATTGTCAATACAGGAACATAAGCATAAATGGAACTTACATTTATTTACACTAGTGATCTACATCTCTTTAAATCTCTCAGTGTAATGTCACTTCATATCGACAC